TGGGAATAAGAAATGCGAAAAGGAAAATTAGAAATGCCAGTTGTGAAATGAAAGATACAAAACAAGAAATGGGAAAGAGGAAAAATGAGAAATGTGAATTAAGAATTGATAAATGCGAAATGACAAAAGACGAATATAAATTAAAAAACCCGATGTACGAAATCATAAATGCGAAATGGGTTATGAGAAATGACAAATGCGAAATGAGAAACTTGAAATACCAAATGAGAAAATAAAAATGTGAAACAACAAATGATAAAGTGTGGAAAAGCGAAGTGAAAAATGTGAATTAATAACTGATAAATGCGAAATGAGAAATGTGAAACGAAAAACAAAATGCGAAATGACAAAAGACAACTGTGAAATGAAAATTACGAAATGAAAAATTAGAAATGTGTAATGGGAAACCCGAAATAAGAAATAATAAATGCGAAGTTGGAAAGAAATGCGAAATTGGGAATAAGAAATAAGAAATGCGAAAAGGAAAATTAGAAATGCCAACTGAGAAATGAAAGATACAAAACAAGAAATGGGAAAGAGGAAAAATGAGAAATGTGAAATAAGAATTGATAAACGCGAAATGACAAAAGACGAATGTAAAATAAAAAGCCCAATGTAAGAAATCATAAATGCGAAATGGGTTATGAGAAATGACAAATGCGAAATGAGAAACTTGAAATACCAAATAAGAAAACAAAAATGTGAAACAAGAAATGATAAAGTGTGGAAAACGAAGTGAAAAATGTGAATTAAAAATTGATAAATGCGAAATGAGAAATGTGAAACAAAAATCAAAATGCGAAATGAGAAATGTGAAACGAAAAACAAAATGCGAAATGACAAAAGACAACTGTGAAATGAAAATTACGAAATGAAAAATTAGAAATGTGTAATGGGAAACCCGAAATAAGAAATAATAAATGCGAAGTTGGAAAGAAATGCGAAATTGGGAATAAGAAATAAGAAATGCGAAAAGGAAAATTAGAAATGCCAACTGAGAAATGAAAGATACAAAACAAGAAATGGGAAAGAGGAAAAATGAGAAATGTGAAATAAGAATTGATAAACGCGAAATGACAAAAGACGAATGTAAAATAAAAAGCCCAATGTAAGAAATCATAAATGCGAAATGGGTTATGAGAAATGACAAATGCGAAATGAGAAACTTGAAATACCAAATAAGAAAACAAAAATGTGAAACAAGAAATGATAAAGTGTGGAAAACGAAGTGAAAAATGTGAATTAAAAATTGATAAATGCGAAATGAGAAATGTGAAACAAAAATCAAAATGCGAAATGAGAAATGTGAAACGAAAAACAAAATGCGAAATGACAAAGACAACTGTGAAATGAAAATTACGAAATGAAAAATTAGAAATGTGTAATGGGAAACCCGAAATAAGAAATAATAAATGCGAAGTTGGAAAGAAATGCGAAATTGGGAATAAGAAATAAGAAATGCGAAAAGGAAAATTAGAAATGCCAACTGAGAAATGAAAGATACAAAACAAGAAATGGGAAAGAGGAAAAATGAGAAATGTGAAATAAGAATTGATAAATGCGAAATGACAAAAGACGAATATAAAATAAAAAACCCGATGTACGAAATCATAAATGCGAAATGGGTTATGAGAAATGACAAATGCGAAATGAGAAACTTGAAATACCAAATGAGAAAACAAAAATGTGAAAATGATAAAGTGTGGAAAAGCGAAGTGAAAAATGTGAATTAATAACTGATAAATGCGAAATGAGGAATGTGAAACGAAAATCAAAATGCGAAAAGATAAAAGACAACTGTGAAATGAAAATTATGAAATGAAAAATTAGAAATGTGTAATGGGAAACCCGAAATAAGAAATGATAAATGCGAATTTGGAAAGAAATGCGAAATTGGGAATAAGAAATAAGATATGCGAAAAGGAAAATTAGAAATGCCAACTGAGAAATGAAAGATACAAAACAAGAAATGGGAAAGAGGAAAAATGAGAAATGTGAAATAAGAATTGATAAACGCGAAATGACAAAAGACGAATGTAAAATAAAAAGCCCAATGTAAGAAATCATAAATGCGAAATGGGTTATGAGAAATGACAAATGCGAAATGAGAAACTTGAAATACCAAATAAGAAAACAAAAATGTGAAACAAGAAATGATAAAGTGTGGAAAACGAAGTGAAAAATGTGAATTAAAAATTGATAAATGCGAAATGAGAAATGTGAAACGAAAATCAAAATGCGAAATGGGAAATGTGAAACGAAAATCAAAATGCGAAATGACAAAAGACAACTGTGAAATGAAAATTACGAAATGAAAAATTAGAAATGTGTAATGGGAAACCCGAAATAAGAAATAATAAATGCGAAGTTGGAAAGAAATGCGAAAGTGGGAATAAGAAATAAAAAATGCGAAAAGGACAATTAGAAATGCCTACTGAGAAATGAAAGATACAAAATAAGAAATGGGAAAGAGGAAAAATGAGAAATGTGAAATAAGAATTGATAAATGCGAAATGACAAAAGACAAATATAAATTAAAAAACCCGATGTACGAAATCATAAATGCGAAATGGGTTATGAGAAATGACAAATGCGAAATGAGAAATTTGAAATACCAAATGAGAAAACAAAAATGTGAAACAACAAATGATAAAGTGTGGAAAAGCGAAGTGAAAAATGTGAATTAATAACTGATAAATGCGAAATGAGGAATGTGAAACGAAAATCAAAATGCGAAAAGATAAAAGACAACTGTGAAATGAAAATTATGAAATGAAAAATTAGAAATGTGTAATGGGAAACCCGAAATAAGAAATGATAAATGCGAAGTTGGAAAGAAATTCGAAATTGGGAATAAGAAATAGGAAATGCAAAAAGGAAAATTAGAAATGCCAACTGAGAAATGAATGATACAAAACAAGAAATGGGAAAGAGGAAAAATGAGAAATGTGAAATAAGAATTGATAAATCCGAAATGACAAAAGACGAATGTAAAATGAAAAACCCGATATAAAAAACCATAAATGCGAAATGGGTTATGAGAAATGACAAATGCAAAATGAGAAACTTGAAATACCAAATGAGAAAACAAAAATGTGAAACAAGAAATGACAATGTGTGGAAAAGAGAAGTGAAAAATGGGAATTAAAAATTGATAAATGCGAAATGAGAAATGTGAAACAAAAATCAAAATGCGAAATGAGAAATGTGAAACGAAAAACAAAATGCGAAATGACAAAAGACAACTGTGAAATGAAAATTACGAAATGAAAAATTAGAAATGTGTATGGGAAACCCGAAATAAGAAATGATAAATGCGAAGTTGGAAAGAAATGCGAAATTGGGAATAAGAAATAAGAAATGCGAAAAGGAAAATTAGAAATGCCAACTGAGAAATGAAAGATACAAAACAAGAAATGGGAAAGAGGAAAAATGAGAAATGTGAAATAAGAATTGATAAATGCGATATGACAAAAGACGAATGTAAAATAAAAAACCCGATGTAAGAAATCATAAATACGAAATGGGTTATGAGAAATGACAGATGCGAAATGAGAAACTTGAAATACCAAATGAGAAAACAAAAATGTGAAACAAGAAATGATAAAGTGTGGAAAAGCGAAGTGTAAAATGCGAATTAAAAATTGATGAATGCGAAATGAGAAATGTGAAACCTGGGTCGAGATTTGTACAAGTATATATCGTAGAGAATACTAAAGTAAGAAACTGTGCAAAATTCTAGGTGGCCATGAACACTTTTAAAGGGGAAAATTACCTCTGAAAATTTATCAAGTGGCGTTATCCACTCCTTTATTGTGCAAAAAAAAAATCTTACGTGTTAAATTTTGCATTTCAAAAGTTTTTTTCTAATATGCTTAATTTGAAAGTTGTGAAGAAAAAATTAAAAGTGTTATCATCTGTATTTATGGGTAGATAGAATTTAGCATAGTTTTTTACTTCAACATTATCTACAATATATACACAAATCTCGACCCAGGTTATAGGGTAAGTATTTTTTAAGAAGTTATTTTATTTTGCGATATTTTGTTATGATCCAACAGAAATGCTTTACTTTTATGTTTAGAGTTACCGTTTTTTTTTAACATTTAATAAAATAAATGAAACCACTTGTTTTTTTCTGTTTATGCTACCATAATAAATAAATAAACCCAATTTTTAAAAAGTGATGACTTAAGTTATTATTATAAGTTTGATTTAATAGGTCAAACTTTTACATGATCTTGTATGCACAATACAGAGATGAACCTAATGCATATGTCCACTTTTAGAACAAACATTTGACCCAAGAAAGTGTAAAATTCGAACGTATACTTACTCTATTGATTTAGACATCTAAAACCTCGATTTTAGAGTAGCGTTCTTTTTGTAAGTAAAATCAGATTTTTTTCTTAAACTTTTCAGTTTGTTGCTTAGCAGCACAATACATTTTATTTATTTATTTTTTTCGTCTAAAGGGAAAGCACTTCAGCTTACCTAGTCACCGTACGTTAGTAAACACTTGGTAAAAAAAGGTTTAATTTAAGATCATTATCGGCAAAACAAAAAAGTCAAGTTAAAAAAAGTTAACAATCACCCTGTAGTACATTATGTAAACAAATTTTGAGGAAATCACAGAAAATCAAAGGAAATCACAGGAAATCAAAGGAAATCAGAGGAAATCAAAAGAAATCGGGGGAAATCAACAGGAAATCATTGTCAAAAGGAAATCAATTGTACACTTGATGGTCGGCGGTTTACCCTTCGGTTTTATTATTCGATCGAGTGGTTGTTTCAAGAACATATAGACACTCTCAAAGTCTTATACTTTGCTTTCGTGAGGTCGAAGTGGAATATGCAAGCATTGTGGGGGCCCCTCCTGCTCAAACCCACACTTTAGCTCTCGAAAAAATCCAGGCACGAATGTCACCACCAAATTTTCTACAACTGTGTAAAATTTGATTGATCCTTAAACAGGAAAACTGTTGACAAAAAATCAAAGAAAAGCAAGAAATTACATTTATTTAATACAAATTTCGCCTATATTGTCTCACGACTGGACCTTTTCATTAATCCAGTCAACATAAGCCGTCGGTTTAGTATACACATCTGGATACCCTTGAGCACACGCCAAAATCGCATACGACACCACCCCTGCCAACTTTCCATCACAAACCAAAGGGCCTCCCGAATCTCCAAAACACGCCCCTTTTCCCACCGGTCCCTCAGCACACACTTGTTCAGGTCCCAAGTACGACTGTCCAAGCTCATCTCCAGCCACATCTCTACATAACTCAAAATTGAAAGCCGTTAGTTCAACAAACCGCAAGTCTTTAGGGTCCACATCATCTGCAGTGGACCCCCACCCTGCCGCAATGCACCTAGAATTCTCCTCAGGGTCAGTAAACTCAGCGGATTGTACCAAGTCGTTGAAATCAAATTCACCGTCGATTTGAACCAAACCGATGTCGTTTTTGGCACCCCATCCAGTCCAAGGGTCGTAATCTTCGTGTACAATGTACTGGGTAATGTTGTACTTAAGACCGCCTGAATTCAGGTTGGTGGTACCGGCGAGTACTGTGGCTGTATCGGACACGTAGTTTAAGCAGTGGGCTGCTGTAAGCACCCAGTTGTTGTTGATGATGGTACCACCGCAGTCACCACTTAGATGGACGATGAAAGGGAACTGACCAGGAGACGCGAGTTGTCCACCAAAAATACGACCATTTGGTGGTGCACCTGAAAGAATGTATTAGTTTTCTGACGAAAAATTACTACGAAAGTTCGTTTACCTAGAGTAATACTGGTGCCAATGGTTAAAATTATCGTCAAGAGGTGCAACATTTTGACTACAGTGATTTACTTATTTTTTTTCATTTTATATAGAAACTGGTGATTTTATCTACCAGACACAATAGAAAACTTTTGGATATCTCGTTTCCTGTTTGAACCAACATATTCATTATACATTTTATCTTGTAGATAAAAAAGATCAAAGAAAGGTGGGATTGTATTTATTTGAGTTTAATTTCACTTAAACAACAAGGTAGGTATCCTATTTTACGACTGGATCTTTTCATTGATCCAGTCAACATAAGCCGTCGGTTTTGAGTACACGTCTGGGTACCCTTCAGCACACGGTACCATCGCGTACGACACCACCCCAGCCAGCTTTCCATCACAAACCAAAGGCCCGCCCGAATCTCCCGAACACGCTCCTTGTCCCACCGGTCCCACAGCACACACTTGCTCCGGTCCCAAGTACGCACCGGCAGCAGTACCTCCAGCAACATCTCCACAAACTTCATAATTCAAACCTGTTAATTCAACAAAGAGCAAGTCATCAGGATTGTCGTTGTCTTCAGTACGTCCCCATCCGGTCACAATACACGTGGAATTTTCCTCTAGATCAAAATATTCAGCGGGTTGTATCAACTCATTGAATTCAAATTCGCCGTCGATTTGGATCAAAGCTATGTCGTTTTTGATTGTCGTGATATCAAAGTCTTCGTGTGAGAAATATTGGGTGACGTTGTAGGTGACACCTCCAGAAAGCAGGCTGTTGGTACCGGCGACGACTGTGAGATTATCGACGTACATTAAGCAATGGGCTGCTGTGAGTACCCAGTTCTTGTTGATGATGGTACCGCCGCAGCTTGTACTTAGGTGGACGATGAATGGGAATTGGCCAGGAGAGGCGAGTTCTCCTCCAAAAATTCGACCATTTGGTGGCGCACCTGAAGGACTATATTAGTTTTTCTACACAGGAATGAAGAGTTTGTTTACCTAGAGTAGTACTAGCGCCAACGGTTAGAATTATCGTCAAGAGATGCAACATTTTGACTATAATGAGGTACTTTTTTTCGTATTTTATACAACAATCGGTGATTTTATCACGCTAGAGACAATAGAAACCTTTGAGATATCACATTTCCTGTGTTCTATGTGAAAAGTAGAGCAGATATGTGTCTTAAGGACAATTACAATGTGCGTGATATCCGATAAAACGGTTGTGATACCTGCATGAAGGAAGTACTTTTACATTTGTAGTACATAGTTCCAGTTGGCTTAAGTGATTACGTGACACTTTAAACGTAGGTACATACAACTCTTTCTCAGGACATTGTCCTGTATGGTACATATTCTAAAAGAAGCTGCAGGAGAGTAGGACCTTGACCAAAATAATTCTTTCCAATGAAATAATTTCAACTGAATTCACAGTCCATGAATATTTTTTCTATGTTGACGACTTTTTCATTGTCAAAATTTTTTAGCAATTGTAATGAGAACATTAAATTATTTTTGTTAAATTAATTTTTATTTTGAAGGCTTTTGCTTTGTTTTAAAATAAATAAGTTGAGGGTCATTTAAACAATCGATGGCCAGCGCAAGTAATGTTGGTTGCCTAATCATCTAAACGTACTTAAGATAGAACATCTCGGACACTTTAACTATTACAAACAACACTAATTTTCTCGGATGATTCTCTCAATCCAGTCAATATAAGCCATCGGTCTCTCATACACATTCGCAGACCCCTCTTCACACGGAGGAAGCGCGAAAGACCCGATTCCTACCAACTTCCCGTCACAAACCAGAGGTCCACCGGCATTTCCACGACAAGATTCACCTCCTTCGGGTCTCAAACTACACATCTGTTCAGGTCCCAGGTCCTCATCTCCTAGTACCTCTCCCGCAATGTCCTTACACTTCTCGTAACCAATAGCAGTTAGATTTATGAACCTTAAATCTTCAAGAAATTCGAAGCTGCCAAGATATTCCCATCCAATTTCAACGCACGCCGAATTTTCCTCAAAATCTCCATATTCTATGGGTTGTACCAACTCGTTGAATTCGAATTGGCCATCGATTCGTATTTGTGCTATGTTGTTTTTGGTACTAGTGATAGTATAGTTATCGTGTTGGAAATAATCGATCATGTTGTATCTAGTACCACCGGAGTGAAGTACATTGGTGCCAACGTTGACTGTTCGGTTGAATTTTAAGTATGAGAAGCAACGAGCTGCTGTTAGTACCCAGTTGTTGTTGATGATGACGCCGGGACAGTCGTGTGCGGGTTGAGGGATGTCGGAAGAGGCGTCCACTGGGTCGTCGATAGAGACCACGAAAGGAAATTGACCGGGTGAGGCTATAGTGTCATAAAAATCTCTCTTATTGGATGGTACGCCTGTAAAAAGACGATTAAGTCGCCTATAATGAGGAACATATTATAGTACGGTTTACCTTGAATGGTACTAGCTATGATCAGTACCAATATCGGAGTGTAATGCATTTTGGTGGAAATTTTTTACGTGTTTTATTTATATTAAATGATAGTTTGAACAAGTAGCAGAAAATGTGTGTATATATCTGTCTTAGTGCGTCAACTGAAATGACATAACAATAATAAAGTGCCTTTTTGAGATAACACGTCACATTTGCGATATCGGTAAATAAAAAAAGTCGGTACTTTTGTAGTTCTAGTTATCTATTTTGGTATAATTATTTTAAGTAAAACTCCATGTCTTCACACCATAGTTAAACTTTTTCTTATTCCTCTTCTTCGTTTTTTCTAGGTAGTACCTAGTATTTGACCGTATTTCCTTCCACTTATCATCCCATATATATTTTATCTTATTTCATCCAGTAATCTTCGAACAACCCAGCTGAGGTTTATTTTTTGATCTTTGAAATTGTTGATTAGATAATTTCACAACAGTGCATTTTAAATTTTGACACTTATATTGTTTTTAAAGTATTGGTTCCGTTTTCTCTTTTATCCTTCGACCTTTTTCGTCGTCTATCATCATACGAAAACTACCGGATTTTGTTAGGTTTCAAGTAAGTTAAAAAACAAAATCAGTGACCTCAAAAATGAGTCAAAAACATTGCAAAACACAAAACAGATATCAAATCTGGTACAATAGTACCTGATAAGCACATTCAAGTTTCCTCGAACGACACAATGTTACCAAAACATCTCCTTCTTTTAACCATCACCACCGTCTACTCCTTGCCTCAACAAAAAGTAAGTTCCGCATGTCCCATCTCTAGACCCTTTACTTTCAAATTTTAGTTAAACCCGCGTATTTTCAACGGGGAACCGGCAACCAAAGGCCAATTTCCATGGCAAGTGGGTCTATACATCCCTAGAAATACTGGACTGACTTTTTGTGGTGGAAGTCTTATTAGTGACACTTGGGTTTTGACAGCAGCGCACTGTCTGGCAGAGTAGAGTTCAAACAGGATTTACACAACACACTTGCTTTTAGTGCTTTTTTTAGTATAAGAATACTACTGGGTACTCTTAAGTCGACAGGAGATGACCCCGATCAAATCGAGCTTCACTCTCAAGAGTACTTGTATAATTATGATTTTGATCCCTGGAGTTACGAGAATGACGTGGCTTTGATAAAATTGCCAGAACCTGTGGTTTTTACTGGTACTTTATTGTGTTTAAAAAGGGTTTCTGGTTGATGTTTTGGTGTTTTAGACTATATTCAACCCATACTTTTAGCTTCTGAAGAAGTTGATGCCGGTACTGGTGTTACAATTATTGGTTGGGGTGATACCGGAGGTACTTTCGTTTTGTTTAGACTTACTAAGCAGATGTATGAATTTTTGGTTGATTCTAGATGGTGTAAGGTCATCTGTTCTTACTTACTCCAATGTAACAGTCGCGGAAACTTGTAAAGATATTGGTACTGTTTGTACTGACTCTGATCCAGACAGCGATGCTCAAAATATATGTGGGGTAAGTTTTGGAACTTATTTATTATTTTAGTGCTGACGTAGATTTTGGTAGGGTGACAGTGGTGGGCCTCTAGTTCTCAATGCTTTCACGTATCCCGTCCATATTGGTATTACTAGCTTTTACAGTGGTGCATGTGAGAGAGGCGGCTATGGGGGATTTACAAGTACAGCGTACGTAAGAGAGTGGATCAAAACTAATACTGGTATCTAAAATGTACAATTAAATGTTCCTAATAAATTTACTAAGTGTTTATATTCATTTTAAACCCTTTTGACCCGTTTTCCGCAAGTGTACGTAGAAATCTCCTGGAGGAATTGTACACCTACAACAATTTGTGAATATTACCTAAAATCTTGCAAATGTTTTAAGTTCTCGAAAAAAGGATAAGTCGATTTTAAATTTTTTCGTTTTGGTTCTCCACAAACGTAAATACCTTCATTTCATCTTTTTCAGCTTATTTTGACACTTCTTTTGACGGCTTCTTTGTAGCATTTTTTGTTCAGTCTTTTTGTCAACTTCTTTGTTTTCTAGTCGTTCTTTTTTGTCTTATTTTTGGTCAATTGTTGTCGCTTTTTTATGACCCTATCACTTTTTTTGTTTTTTTGGCATCTTTTTTAACCTTTTGGACGTTTTTTTTATCGATATTTTGTAGTCTTCTTTCTTTGTTTTTTGACGCCCTTTTTGTAGCATCTTTTATCTCATTTTTTTTCGTCCCTTTTCGTCGCCTTTTTTATTACCGATTGTAGATTATTTTAATTCCATTTTTGTGTTACCCTGTTTGTCGTTTTTATTGACGCCTTTTTTAGTCGCATTTTTTTGTAACATTTTTATGGCTTTTTCGTCGCCTTTCTTGTTCGGCACTTTTTTTATTTTGATTTTTTAGTCATCCTTTTTGACGCCTTATTTGTCGCTTTCTTTGTCGCTTCTTTTTTTGTGCAATTTTTGGCGCTTTTTTATTACATTTTTTTATCATTTCATCATTTTTCGCCCGTTTTTTGCTATTTGCTGTAGTTACTTTTCTAACTGCTCGTTTTGTGCCTTTTTTCTGTCGCATGTTTGGTTTCTATTTTTATCACGCCTTTTTGCGCTCTTTTTATATTTTTTTGACTTGTTAACTTCTTTTTTTGGGCAATTTTTGACTACACCCTTTTTTGTAATGTACACTTTTTGTAGTCTGTTTTTTGTTTTTTTTTAAGTTTTTAAATGTTTTTCTGTGGCATTTTTTGCCACATTTGTTGGCCCCCATTGTCTTAAGTAGGTACATGTTTTTCTTTTTTTTGCGTTTTGTTGTTTCCTTTAGTTTCTTTTTTGCCATTTATTTATTGCGTTTTAAATTGTATTTTATTTGTGATCTTTTTTGCCTCTTTTTTGACTCCTTTTTCTTTTAATTCCATGTCATTAATAAATCATTTGTCCTCTTTTTTTATTAGACCTGTTTTGTCCCTTTTTCTATATCGGTTTTTTAGTCATCTTTATGTCACCTTATTTGTCGCTATCTTTGTCGCTTCTTTGTAACCTTTTCTGTCATCCTCTTTTGTTCCTTTATTTATCACTTTTTTAGGCAATTTTGCTGGCTTTTTTATTTAATTTTTTCTGCGACATTTTTTTGCTACATTTAGTAACTCCCTTTTCAATTACATTTTTTATCTTTTCGTCATTTTTCGGCCGTTTCTTATTATTTTTTCAGGGTTCGTTTTGTGGCTTTTTTGTCTTTTTTTGGTTTTTTGTGTTGCCATTTTTGTGTCGCATCTTTTGTCTCTATTTTTATCATCCATTTTTTTTACGCGCTTCTTTTTACACTTTGGTCGTCTTTCTTCATTGCATTTTACTTATGGTCTTTCTCCACACACCTTTTTACTCCTTTTTTTTAACATTTTTTTCTGATTTATTTCGTGCACTTTTTGTAATCTTCTTTGTTATCTTTTTTTATCGTTTTTCTTTCGACTATTTTTTGTTGTTTTTTACGTTTTTATTACATTCTTTTGCCATATTATGTGGTTCTCTATTATCGTTTTTTTATTGTAGCGTCTTGTTGTCTCCTTTCTTATTAATTTTTTTTTTGCTTTCTTAAGTTGTATTTTATCTGTGATCCATTTTTGCCCCTTTTTTGACTCCCTTTACTTTTAATCCCATTTTTTTAATATCCCTTTGTGTTTTTTTTTGTCGCCTTTTCATTTGACACTTTTTTGTCGCTTTTTTTATATGAACTTTTTGTCTCCTTTTTCTTTCGTTGGTTTCTCGTCACCTTTTTTAACTATATTGTCTTTTGTTGCATAATTTTTCTCATCTTTTTGTCGCCTTCTTGTAACATTTGTCGTCTTTTTTGTTGCAATTTTTTTTGGTTTTTGGTTGCTCCTTTTGTTTTTTTTTTTTTGGTCTGGTTTTTGTAACCTCTTTAATTGTTTTCTGACATCCTTTTGCCACATTTGTTGACTTTTTTTTCTAGTTGAATTTTTTGAAGCACTTTTTTGTGATATTTTTTTATCATTCTTTTGTTGGTGTTTTTTGTCGAATTTTTGTCTTTTTCTCCCACATTTTTCATCCTATTTTTCGTTTTTATCGTCTTGTGTCGCTTTTTTATCACCATTTTTTGTAGCTTTTTTAGTCACATTTTTTGTGAACTTTTTTTTGTTACCTTTTTTTGCTTTTGTTCTCGCCATTTTTTTGTATATTTTTTTTGTAATTTTTTGCCGCGTCTTTTTTGCACTTTTTTATCCCCGTTATGTATGACTTTTTTGTTCCTTTTTTTATCTCGGTTTTTTAGTCATGCTTATGTAGCCTTATTTTGTCGCCTTCTTTTGTTCCTTTATTTGTCATAACTTTTTTGACGACTTTTTTGTCGCATTTTTTGTTAACTTCTTTTTTTTTAGTTGCTTTTTTATTATATTTTTTTTGTAATATTCTTTTCCTACATTTTTATCACCCCCATTTTTGCGTTCTTCTTTTTTACTTTTTTGACTTTCCTTTCTTTGTCGCGTTTCATCTTTGCATTTTACCTGTGGTGACCTTTTTCCCCCACATTTTTCGACACCCTTTTTTTTGTAACATGTTGTTTGTGGTCCATTTCGTCCACTTTTCGTAGTCTTCTTTGTTGTCTTTTTTGGCATCTCATGTGTCGCTTTTTCGCCTGTTTTTAGTTGCTTTTTCACGTTTGTTATTGTATTTGTTCTGTGGCACTCTTTTGCATTAAATTAATTTTTTTTTTCTTTTTTTTGCGTCTTATTTAATATCGGCTTTTTGATTGACACATTTTTAGTTCGCTTTTTTGTCGCCTTTTTCTTTCGTTTTTTTTGGTTCTCTATTGTCGCTTTCTTGTGGCATCTTATACTCTCCTTTATTAGTTTCTTTTATTTTTATCCCATTTTTATTGCTGTTTTATATCGTATTTTATTTGTTATCTTTCTTTGCTTCTTTTTTGACTCCCTTTTCTTTTAATTGCATTTTTTAAATAATTTATTTCTAGTCTTTTTTGTCCCGCTTTTATTTCTTACTTGTGTCCCCCTTTTTTATACGACTTTTTTGTCCTTTTTTCTATCTCGCTTTTTAGTTTTTTTTTTGTCCCTTCACTTGCCACCTTTTTTTACGGTTTTTTATAGTATTTTTTTGATAACTTCTTTTTATTGAGTCATTTTTGACGGTTTTTTTATTACATTTTTTCTGTGACATTCTTTTGCTAACTGCGTTTTTTTATTACATTTTTTTTTCGTCGTTTTTCGGCCGTTTTTTGTAATTTTTTGTGTTACTTTTTTCAATGGTGGCCTTTTCCTTGTTTTTTTTTTGGATCTTTGTGCTGCTTTTTTCTGTTGCATCCTTTGTCTCTATTTTAATCATCCCCTTTTGTGCACTCTTCTTTTTACACTTTTTTGGCTTCCTTTTTTTTGGCGTTTCTTCATTGCATTTTACCTGTGATCTTTTTCTCCACATTTTTTGACTCCTTTTTTTTTGTAACATTCTTTTGTGATCCATTTCGGCACTTTGTCTAGTCGTCTTTGATGTCTTTTTTGTCGTTTTTTGTCTATTTTTTCGTTGTTTTTTACGTTTTTTATTGCATTTTTTCTGTGACATTCTTTTGCTACATTTGTTTTTTGTTTCTCCATTATCGCTTTTTGTGGCGTCTTGTTGTCTCTTTTAAGTCCTTTTTTTGTAACATTTTTTACGACCTATTTCGTACAGTTTTTGTAGTTTATTTATCTTTTCTGTCGCTTTTTTCGCCTGTTTTTTTACTTTTTTATTCTATTTTTTGTGGCATTCGTTGACCACATTTGTTGACCGCCTTTGTCTTAATTTTTTTTTCATTTTTGTTGGTGTTATTTAGAGGCTTTTTAGTTGACACGAGTTCGTCGATACGAAGAAATAGATCTCCCGTTTCCGTCTGTCTGTCTGTCTGTCCCTCTGTCTGTCTGTCGATCTGTCTGTCCATCTGTCTGTCCATTTGTCCGTCTATCTGCCAGCCCCATTTTTCTACTTGCACTTTTTGAAAGCAGTTTTTGTGATCTTTTTATCCCCTTTTTATTTGAGACTTTTTATGGCCCTTTTTTGTAGCCTTTTTTTCCTTTTTCTATAGTATTTGTCATTCTTTTTTGACGCTCTCTTTTGTCTTTTTTTTGTGGCATTTTTTGTCGTGTTTTGTCGCTTTTTTTATCTCAGTTTTTTGTAGCTTTTTTAGTCGCATTTTTGTGGACTTTTTTGTTTGTTACCTTTTCCCATCCCCATCGTTTTGGTACTTTTTTCTCGTCTCTTTTTTTTATTGTTTTTTTTTACTTTTTGGTGCCTTTTTGTACCCTTTTTTCATGCCTTTTTTTACTTATTTTTCTTGTCGCTTTTTTTGTCGTTTTTCTGGTCCTTTCTAAAAAGTTGACTCCATTATTACAAACTCTCATGAAAAATTCACCTGAAACATAAACATAGCAACTTCTTTATCTGCATTTTACTTTTTCTTTTTGTTTTAATTTATTGAAAAATATAATCTAATATACATACATTGATTGTACATCAGGGCTGAGGAAAGTTCCTCGTACATATGGTCAGTAACTTCGGAAAAACTGAATAGCCAAAAATTATCTACCAGAAAAATTAAATTTGTAAAATCAAACTTTAAACCTATTTAAGAATGGATGTGTTTGATTAAACTTCAGGACCAGGGGAAGTTCATTCTAAATAATTTTAGATCAATTTTTAAACATATATTTATTTAATAAATTTTGTAATGACGTCATTTCTGACTACAGAGGATAAACTTCAACTGCATTGAATATGTTGCAAAGGTCGAATTTGTCACAGATAAAAATATTTGGTTACAACATAACACTTATCTTGATACTACTAACTCATAAAATACTGAAATTAAACGTAGACGTTCTATAAATAACCTGATTTTGAAATAAATATCGTCACAAAAAAATACGTTTAAATTTAGCATATCTTGGCAAGTTAATTTATTTCATTTATTTAGTCGTATGAGATTCAGTGGTCAAATTTAGGTCCCTTACTATTTACTTCCTTTATTAACGACACACAAATATTAAAAAAAAGTTCAATTCAACTTCAAAACTGTTTCTACATCGCGTCCTTCAACTGACCATGTACAACAATATCCCAGTAAAAAACCCAAAACCTATGTACTTCTCTACCCACTCATCGCAGGAAATCACCGTAAAAATCGCTCAGTAACAAGACACTCCAGATAATGTTATCAAGAAACCAGACACGACAAGACAAATAAGACACTCAGTATAAAAGAGCATCCATTGTTCCAATTCCGGTGATAGCAAAATGCAGCGAGTGAGCATAATTCTCCTTTGGATTACCTCTGTCTGGGCACACCCTTTCAGCAAATTCGTGCCCATCAAAGATTTAGGTCCCCGCATTATTAACGGCCAGCCGGCATCTCTAGGCCAGTTTCCATGGCAAGTGGCCATCTATGTGACAGTACCTGGTGCTACGAACTTGTGTGGTGGTGCCTTAATTAGTGACACTTGGGTTCTGACAGCTGGACACTGTGTCCAAGAGTAAGATTTCCACTTATGTAGTCTCGTCTAGTGATGTCAATTTTGCAGTGCTACCAACTTCCGGCTAGCTTTGGGGTCCAACCAACTCAGTGGTGACGATTCTAATAGGGTGGTGCAATCCACAGAGCAATTCGTTCAACACGAAGACTACAACCAGTTTACTTTGGATAACGATGTAGCTGTGATTCCGCTACCATCGCCTGTTAGTTTTAATGGTGAGAGTACCACTTGTGTTGTTGTACTTGTAACGATTTGAGCTTGTAGACAACATTCAACCGATTGCTTTGGCTGAGAGTGCGCTGGATGCAGATACCGTAGTAACAGTCAGCGGCTGGGGACTCACTAGTGATGGTACTCAACAAGGAACTTTTGTCTCGGTACTTATTTTGACGTTTTAGGTGGTGATGGTGCCAGTAATGATTTGAACTACGTGGATCTGGTGACTATTTCGACTAACGATTGTAGTGCTGCGTATGGTTCTAGTATCGGTGATGGGGTTATTTGTGCCCAGGGTGACGGGGCGGAGGTCCACAGTACTTGCGAGGTTGGATTTATATTAATTTAAGATTTTGTCTACTAAGGTTGTTTTTAGGGTGATAGTGGAGGTCCGTTGGTTATTGATGCTGGATCTAATCCAGTTCATGTAGGTATTGTCAGTTTTGGACACAGTGATGGGTGCGAGAGTGGTAAACCTGCTGGATTTGCTAGAACTTACTTTTATAGAGATTGGATTAGAGATACAACTGGTGTTTAAATTGTGAAGTACTTGATTTGTTGCACGATAATAAACTAATTTGATAGAGTTTGTTTATCAGTTAAGATATGGCGCCATTGTCTGAAAGTGGTTCGGTCTTGTCAAAATGAGATTTTAATTCGGTAGTCAAGTCATCCGTTAATACCTACAATTTTTTATGATAATGACAATGACAATTGTCGATAGTACTACAGACAACTACTACAAAACAAGCTTAGATACTAACAAGGCTTTCAGAAAAAAATCTCATTTGGCAAAAAATAAAAAACCAATCTTTTTTGAAAAATATGCTCTAATATACATACATTGATTGTACTTCAGGGTTGAGGAAAGTTCATCAAAATAAGTACAGATCAGTTTTTAATATTTATTACTCGACGTATCACGAAAAAATAAATTCTCTAACAAAATGTTATAATTAAAAAAAAATCTGTTGGTTGTTTAAAGTTAATCTACCAGAAAAAATAATCCAAAGTCGGTACCGTGAATGGTTTTCGAAATATTTTGGTTCAAAGTCAAAATTTAAAATTATCTCAAAATTTATTATACATGTAGCATTTTAGAGATTTTGAAATAATTGTAGGAGTTTTGAAACCCTAAAAAACTTCTATAGGTTAAAATTAACAAAAGAGACTGTTTTGGTAATTTTTTCCAGAGCATGGTCTAATAATAACTCTGGGAAAAGTCAAAATTTCACACAGTTTTGAAAAATTGAGACTTCGGAAAATCTGCCTAAAAATTCACAAAAAAAATCTGGAATATAGATCTTGACGCGCCAATTTGAAAAATATAAAATTTTTAATCCTAAAAATTACCAGATTTCATATTAGTGATTTTGGAAAAATGCTAGAAATTTTCGGAAAAATGAAGCCAAAAACCTCTTTAAGTGATTTTCGAAAGTGGTTGACATTTCATAAGGGGAGGGGAGTAGAGAACTTTTGAAAAATTGTCTAAAAATTCACAAACGAATCTGGGATATAGATTTCATCTATATCTTCTGAGCAAATGAAGCTCTCTGTAGGTCGAAATCTACTAAAAAATTGAGCTTCAGAAAAGTTCCCTAAAATTCATGAAAAAATTCCGTAATATAGATCTCGACGTCTTGATTCTAAAATTATAGCATGTTGATGATCCCAGAACAAGATTTTCTGAATATTCAGTGTGAAAAATTTTTTTTTAATCCTAAAAATTACAATAATTAATATTGGCGATTCTGGAAAAATTGTAGAAATTTTCTGAGAAATTAAGCCGAAAATAACTTCAGAAAATGAAAATTTACAAAAAACCGAAACTAGTTCCTGGTGGTCAAACCTCAAAATTCCTTTAGGTAATTTTCGAAGATGGTCGAAAAATGGTCAAAAATTTCATAAGGAGGAATTATAGAAAAACTGAATTTTGGAAAAGTTGACTAAAACTTTCCAAACAATTTTGAGAAATAGATCAATTCTGAAATTTGTCATATATCTAATCGATTTTCCAAAAATGGAAGGATTTTCGAAGAAATGAAAGCGAAAATAGTCTTTGGAGATTTAAATCTATAAAAAAAAAATGGCCCCAGAGCAAGATTTTGGAAATGTCCGGATTGAAAGTAGGATCATGGGAGCTTTCGAAGAAATGAAGCCGAAAATTGTCTCTAGAGGTCGAAATCTAAATAAGTCAAAAATTTCATCGACGAGTACCTATGTATTGGAAAACTAAGTTTTGGAAAAGTTCCCTAAAATTCATTAAAAAATTCTGGGATATAGATCTCGAGGTGCTGATTCCAAAATTATAGCATATTGATGCTCCTAGAATAAGAATTTCTGAATATGCAGTGTGAAACCCTAAATATTGGGGATTCTGAAAAAATTATAGAAATTTTCTAAGAAATTGAGCCGAAAATAACTTCAGGAAATGAAAATCTATAAAAAAAAATTTAGACAATTTTCCCGTTGGTCGGTGTTAAAAATGTGCCATTCTATTCTGAAAAAATCCTGGGAACATGCGAAGAAATGAAACCCAAAATAGTCTCTGAAGTTCAAAATCTACAAAAAAATGTGTTTAAATGATTTTCAAATTTGAACGAAAACAACTTCAGGAAGTAAGAATTTACAAAAAAATCTCTTTAGGTAATTTTCGAAATTGGTCGAAAATTTGTCGAAAATTTTATAAAAGGGGAGTTTGATAAAATTAAGCTTTTGGAAAAACTGGCTAAAAATTCAAAAATACTTGTGGTGATTTTAAAAATATAAAATATTCGGTTTTACAATAAAATTTAAAAAAAATCTAAAATTTACCATTTTTCATTTTGAAAAAATGGTAGAAATTTTCGTAGAAATGAACTCGAAGGTAAGTTCTGGAAGTCTAATTCTACAAAAAAAAACCTTTACCAAATTTTCGGACACTCAAAAATCTCTTAATAGAAAAGAGTAGAAACATTTTTTGAGAATTTACTAAAAATCCACAAAACAATTTTGGGATGTAAATATTGACGTTTGAAAAATCCTTACCTTGACCGTTTTGGAGGTCAAAATCTACAAAAAAAATCCCTTTCGGTAATTTTCGAATGTGATCGAAAATTCTATAACGAGGAATTATAGAAAAACGGAATCTTGGAAAAGTTGCCTAAAAATTTCCAAAAAATTCTAGGATGTAGATTTCGAAAAGCTGATTCGAAAAATACATCGTGTTGATGGTTAAACAACAAGATTTTCGAAATATTCGGTCTGCAACTCAAATTATTTTTGAAATCCTAAAATTTGCCATATTTCTAATTGGCGATTCTCTAAATAGGAGCAATTTTCAAAGAAATGACACTGAAAATAGTCTCTGGAGATCTAATTCTATAAAAAAAATTTAGGTAATTTTTGAAAGTGGTGAAAAATATGTCGAAAATATAAGTATTGAAAATCGAGTTTTTGAAAAGTTGCCTAAAATGCACAGAAAATTCAGGGAGATACTTAGATTCCGACGAGTTTCATATTGACAGTTCTGGAAAATAGTAGGAATTTTCGAAGAAAAGAAACCGAAAATAACTTCTATTAGTTTAAATTCATAAAAAATCTCTTTGGGTAATTTTTGAAAGTGGTCTAAACAGGATCGAAATTTTCACAAGTGGGGAAGTTTTGAGAGGTCCAATTCTACAAAAAAAGCCCTTTAGATAAGGTGGTCGAAAAAATTGAGATTTTGGAAAAGATATCTAAAATTTCACAAAAAAATCTGGGACACAGATCTCAACTGTTAATTCAAAACATATGGTGGCTTTGAAAAGATTTGGTTTGAAAGTTTTTTTTTAATCTTCAAATTGACATGTTTCATAAGGTCGATTCTGAAAAAATAGTAAGAATTTTAGGTTGATTTTGGAAAAATAACAAGAATTTTAGAAGAAATTAAGACGGAAATAACTTCAGGAAATGAAAATCTACAAAACACTCCCTTTAGGCAATTTTCCAAGAGCTAAATCAAAAAATATAGCGTGTTGATAGTTCCATAGCAAGATTTTCGAAAAATTCAGCTTGAAAATATTTTTTTTCAAAATTCTAAAAATTGCTATAATATATTATATTGGCGATGACGAAAAATGTTAGAAATTTTCCAAGAAGTGGGGCAAAAAATAACTTCAGAAAGTGGTGTTCGTAGTTCCAGAGGTTTTTAAAATGTTAAAAATTATTAAAAAAATCTATTTAGATAATTTTGGAATTTGAACGAAATAGGTTGAAAATTTCGTTAAATATTGAAAAAGTGAACTTTTGGAAAAAAAACTGCGTAATTTTCGAAAAAATGAAACTGAAAATAGTCTCTGGAGGTCAAACTCACAAAAAAAATCCCTTTAGGTAATGTTCGAAGGTGGTCGAAAAATAATCGAAAATTTCATAAAAATTTCCAGAAATAGATTTCCACGAGCTAATTTGAAAAATATATTGTACTGATGGTTCCAGAGCAAGATTTTCGAAATTTTCGGGCTGAAACTCAATTTTTTTTAAATCTTAACATTTGCCATATTTCTAATTGGCGATTCTCCAAAAATGGGAGGAATTTTCTAAGAAATGAAACCGAAAATGGTCTTTGGAGATCTAAATCTGTAAAAAAAATAATAAACAAAGACAAAAAACAAAAAAATTCAAAAGGGTATTGAAAAATTAAGTGCTTGGAAAAATTGTCTAAAAATTTGTAAAAAATTCTAGAATGTAGATTTAGACGAGCTCATTCGAAAAATATAGTGGATTAAAGATCCCTAACAAAGATCTTAGACAGATTCAATTTGAAAGCCAAATTTAAAAAAAAATCCAAAAATTGTCATATTTCTTACTGGTGATTTTGGAAAAAGAGTAGACATTTTTGAAGAAATGAAACTGAAAATAGACTCTTGAGGTCATAATATCCAGAAAAAACGTTTGTGATCCCGGGCAATGATTTTTGGAATAGTCAGTTTGAAAGTCGATTTTTTTTATTCTAAAAATTGTTGTATTTCAAACTGACGAATCTGGAAAATGGAAGCAATTTTATGAGAAATAAACCCGGAAATAACTTCCAATAGTCTCAATCCTCAAAAAAAATCTCTTTGGATAATTTTCGAAAGTGGTTGGAAAAGGGTCGAAATTTTCACAAGTGGGGAAATACTGAACAATTGATATATTTCAGAATGGTGATTCTGAAAAAAACAGAATTATCGAAAAAATGAAACCAAAAACAGTTTCTGGAGATCGAAATCAACAAAAATACCCGTTTAGGTAATTTTCGAAGGTCATCGAAAAATTGTTGCATATTTTTCAAGAAATAAAACCAAACAAAGCCAGAATCTACAAAAAATCCCTTTGTCTTAATTCCAAAATTGGTCGAAAACAATAAACGAAACTATGAGTTTTGGGAAAATGGACTAAAAATTCAAAAACCACATAAAATTCTTGAGATAATTTTCGAAGGGGGTCGAAAAATAATCGAAAATTTTCCCCTGACCTGAGTACTGAAAAATGAACTTTTGAAAAAGTGATCTAAAAATTCACAAAAAAATCCCGAATATATCTCGACGTCCTACTACGAAAAATAAAGTGTGTTGATAGTTCCAAAGCAAGATTTTCAAAGTATTCAATTTGAAAACCAAATTTTTTAAAAATCCAAAAAATTCTATTGGGAATTTTGAAAAAAATGACAGGAGTTTTCGAAGGTAGTCAAAGGAATCGTAACTTTTTTGTTAAAGACTTTTCAGAATTTTATCTTTTTAAGGTTTCAGTTTTTTAATACCAACATTTTAATTTTAGTCCAACACTCAAAGACACAAAGCTGCTAATAAAAAATATATTAAGATAAGTATACAAAATCATTCACATCATAAATAATCAAACACCAGTTTGCTGCCTAATCCATTCCCTATAATAATGAGTCCTGGCATATCCTGAAGGATAACCGCTCTCGCACCCTCTAGTGCTGACAAAACTGACAATACCAACTTGAATGGCGCTGCTTCCAGAACCTGTGATTAAAGGACCACCACTATCACCCTAAAGACAAAAATGAAATTACAAAACAAAATAAATAACAACGAAAAATCTCACATTGCAAGTACTCTTGCCTGAACCAGTGGCACAAACAACCCCAGAATTCAAGCTTCCATAGTACTGTGAACACTGGGCGTTAGTAATGGACGACAGAGTGACGTAATTGAGGTTGTTAGTAACTCCCGACGAAGCTGCAAAAATGTAGAAGTATTAAACACAAAAAAATAGGTTAAATTTGATTGGTTAGTACCGTCGCTTGTTTTCCCCCACCCGCTCACTGTAACCGAAACTCCAGACCCCAAACTGCTAGACGCCAGAGTGATTGCTTGGATGTTAGCTGAAAACAACGACTTATTAGTTTACAACAACAACAAGAAAAGAGTGATTACTGGAGAATGTGATTGCTGAATCCAGTCTAATCAAAGCTACATCATTGGCCAACGTTGACGGGTTGTAGTTAGGGTGGACGATCTTATTCGTGGTAGTAACGACGGTGGAACCAGAGTCTGGATTAAGAGTGATGGTACCTAGATAGATGGTAAAAGTACGGGCACTGAAAAGTTACACCAATTTAATGACAGTTCAAACGAAATCAAGTTCTTACTTAACAGCACAGTGAGCTGCCGTCAGAATCCAAATGTTGCTGATAATGGAACCACCACAGAACGACGTTCCTGAAGACGTGGTGAAGTAAACAGCCGCTTGCCACGGGAACTGACCTCTACTTGCCGGCGTGCCATTTATTATGCGACCACCGGCCTTCTGTAGTTCAACTTTCTGAAAAATTTGAAATTAGTACTACCGTTGTCAAAATGAAGTGGCAAAGTACTTCGTTAAGGGGCGAAGCCCACAGTGCTGTCACGCAGAGAATCAGAAAAGCTAGAAGCTGCATCTTGGCTAAGACGAGTAGTGGCTATTGTTTGGATTTTGCTTTTAATATCTCGTCTTGGGATGCTATCATTATCTATTTTTAAAAGGGGATTTGGTGGTTTATTGTCAATCGATCATTTTTAGTTAGTAGTTGTAATTTTTTTGTCTTGTCCTTGATTATAATCATTAGTTTTTGTGGGAGATTTATGATTAAACAAATAAAATAACTGAGGGATTAAAGCAGTAAAAGTGTAGACATAATCGGTACATTTGATTTGTTTTGGGGATTAGGTTTCAAGGTTATTTTTTATTTGATATCAAGTAAACCAGTTTTGTTTAAATAACTGATTTTGCATACATTTGACATAAAAATTCATTTACAATGTGTTACATAATGTCTAAAGATTTAGATTTTTCTTCAACAAAACTACAAAAAAAAAATTGGTCTAAAGAGTTTAGCCAGTACTTCCCTCGCTGTTGGAAACGTGACGACTGCATGCCTATTGTGTTTTTTTTCGCAGTAGATTTCATATATTTTTTTTTGAGTTACCCGGTATATGCAAATTCAAAAAATATGAATGGAATGATAAATTACAAGTACAGACTCTTCATATTTTGTATATTCTAGATAGGATTTATTCGGCAAACTTTTGAGCTGACGTCAACAAGTTTTTGGAGGGGATAACCATCTATATTCTGACTAAAGATTTATGATGCTCTTTATAACCTTAAAATATCTGCAAGATTTCAAAGCATTCGGTTTTGTAGTTCTTGATTAACTCAATAAAATATATTCACGCATTCATTAATTTTTTGGAGTCACCCTGTATATAGAAATCCAAAAAATATGAATGGAGTGATAGATCACAAGTACGGACTCATCATATTTTGTACATTTTAGATACGATTTATTCCACAAACTTTTGAGCTGACGTCATCAAGTTTTTGGAGGGGATAAGCAAATATTTTTTGAGTAAAGATTTATGATGCTCTTTATAGCCTTAAAACATCTGCAAGATTTCAGAGCATTCGGTTTTGTAGTTCCTGATTAAATCAATAAAATATATTTACGCATTCATTAATTTTTTTGAGTCACCCTGTATATGCAAATCCAAAAAATATGAATGGAGTGATAGATCACAAGTACAGACTCATCATATTTTGTACATTTTAGATATGATTTATTCCACGAACTTTTAAGCTGACGTCATCAAGTTTTTGGAGGGGATAAGTAAATATTTTTTGACTAAAGATTTATGATGCTCTTTATAGCCTTAAAACATCTGCAACATTTCAAAGCATTCTGGTTAGCAGATTAAAAATTAAATTTCAAAATATTGTTTTATAATTTTGATTTTTTTTCCAAAAATCTGGACGTTTCGGGTGAAAAGTCGATTCAGAGTTGTAAACTACATGTGTAGGACTATGTTATTTTATACAATTGAAAATCCATTTACTATGTACAATTTTGAAGTGACGTCATCGCATTAGTGGTGGGGATGATTAGACAAATTTTGGTTAGCGTTTTACCATCTACATGATATTCTTAATATAAGTACAAAATTTCACAAGAATCGGTCGAGTACTTTCGGAGATTATCTGTCTAATAAAAATCCGGGACAACAGACGGACAGACGGACAGACGGACGGACAGACGGACAGACGGACAGACGGACGGACAGACGGACAGACGGACAGACGGACAGACAGACGGAAATGGGAGACCTATTTCTTCGTCTTCTAGGGGTCATGAAAGATCGAGAAAACGTAAAAGTAGAGAGTCGACCGACGGACTCGATTACAATACTTCCTTTGCTTACGCTCGGGAAGTAAAAATAATAATAATAAATCTACACTATGCAACTATTATTTCATATCATTAAACTTAATGTTATCTTAAATGTAAGTTGGCCAAGTTTAATATCACTGTACTTATACGCTAGATCATTGATTATTAATCATGATCGATTTGAGATTAACCCCAAACTACGGATTAGACGTACTATTAATTAAAATTGTCAATATTTAAAATAGTTCATCGGTATTAGAACTTATCGGTTTAATTATTAAAAAATTGGTCTAAAGAGTTTAGACAGTACTTCCCTCGCTGTCGGAAACTTGACGACTGCATGGCTATTGTGTTTCTTTCTCATTACATTTTTGTAGTGGGAATTTAAAAAAAATTGCGATGACGTCATCAACATTTTTGCAAGGACACGTATATCAGTTGGGATAGATGTAGTGTAATACTAAGAATAAAATTATTGTATTCCCAAATTTTCGGGAAAATGAATCGGGTCGTTTTGAATATTGATTTTTTATAATCAATAAAATAACGAAACAATTTACTCACGTATACGGCAACTGAAAATCGTTTATGTATAAACATTCTTAATTTAAGATGACAAGCGTAACAGCATACGTGAGAGTCAAACAGAGAAACTGTAAACAAAACGACCATCGGTTTTATTGCTTCGACTTCCGCTTATTATATAAAACATTGGGTTTTATTTTAATTCTTGACGGTGAAATTCACAATTGGTTGATTATAAACATGTCTATTTCACATTCGCGGAACCAAGTGAGCGCATAAAACAAATGCAGGTCTGTAATGTTAAAGTCGATGTAAATAAGCGTGCTACCCTTATGTTTCAACCGAGTTTTTCCTTTAACAAATTTTGTGTCTACCAAATTGGGTTGGTTGGGGTGTAATACTAATAATAAGTGTTGCCTTTAATTAAATCAATAAAATAAATTGACTTCATTAATTTTTTTGAACCACCTCTTAAGAAAATCTAAAAAATATGAATGGAATGATAAATCACAAGTACAAACTCATCATATTTTTTGCATTTTAGATAGGATTTATTCAGCAAAATTTAAGGGTGACGTCACCAATTTTTTTAGGAGGGATGAACAAATACATTTTGAACAAAAGTTTACCATGCTTATAATAACTTTAAAATATTCCCAAGATTTCTAAGCATTCGGTTTTGTAATTCCTGATTAAATCGATAAAATAAATTCACGCCTTCATTAATTTTTTTGAGTCACCCTGCATATGCAAATCCAAAAATATGAATGGAATGATAAATCACAAGTACAGACTCATCATATTTTGTACATTTTAGATACGATTTATTCGGCAAACTTTTGAGCTGACGTCATCAGTTTTTTATAGAAGATAACCAAATATATTTTGACTAAACATTTATTATGCTCTTTATAACCTTAAAACATCTGCAAGATTTCAGAGCATTCGGTTTTGTAGTTCCTGATTAAATCAATAAAATATATTTACGCATTCATTAATTTTTTTGAGTCACCCTGTATATGCAAATCCAAAAAATATGAACGGAGTGATAAATTACAAGTACAGACTCATCATATTTTTACAGTTTGGATAGGATTTATTCGGCAAACTTTCGAGTTGACGTCATCAATTTTTTGGAGGGGATAAGCAAATATATTTTGACTAAACATTTATTATACTCTTTATAACCTTAAAACATCTGCAAGATTTCAAAGCATTCGGTTTTGTAGTTTCTGAGTAAATCAGTAAAATAAATTTACGCATTCATTATTTTTTTTGAGTCACCCTGTATATGCAAATCCAAAAAATATGAATGGAGTGATAGATCACAAGTACAGACTCATCATATTTTGTACATTTTAGATATGATTTATTCCACAAACTTTTGAGCTGACGTCATCAAGTTTTTGGAGGGGATAAGCAAATATTTTTTGACTAAAGATTTATGATGCTCTTTATAGCCTTAAAACATCTGCAACATTTCAAAGCATTCTGGTTAGCAGATTAAAAATTAAATTTCAAAATGTTGTTTTATAATTTTGATTTTTTTTTCAAAAATCGGGTGAAAAGTCGATTCAGAGTTGTAAACTACATGTGTAGGACTATGTTATTTTATACAATTGAAAACCCATTTACTATGTACAATTTTGAAGTGACATCATCGCATTAGTGGTGGGGATGATTAGACAAATTTTGGTTAGCGTTTTAACATCTACATGATATTCTTAATATAAGTACAAAATTTCACAACAATCGGTCGAGTACTTTCGGAGATTATCTGTCTAATAAAAATCCGGGACGGCAGACGGACAGACGGACAGACGGACCGACAGACGGACGGACAGACGGACAGACGGACAGACGGACAGACGGACAGACGGACAGACGGACAGACGGACAGACGGACAGACGGACAGACGGACAGACGGACAGACGGACAGACAGACGGAAATGGGAGACCTATTTCTTCGTCTTCTAGGGGTCATGAAAGATCGAGAAAACGTAAAAGTAGAGAGTCGGCCGACGGACTCGATTACAATACTTCTTTTGCTTACGCTCGGGAAGTAAAAATCAAAATTAATCAATTATTGTGAAAATCGATTATAACGATGACTGTGAGAATTTAATCAATCACCCAACAAATGCATATATTAAAAAAATCTAGACTACTTAGGACGAGTTGCACGCTTAGGCTGGCAAATTTTTTTGAACCTTTTGAACTAAGTATAACAGAAAAAAATTATCAAAACTGATTCAACTGCATTGCTAAATTACTTTGAAATGTATCATTGTTGCAACTTTGTCATTTCCCAAAAATGTGTCGTTGATGTTTCGCAGTTATAACCATTCATGCAATTACAAAACGACATAAAAATGATAAAACTAGAAAAAAATATAAAAATAAAAAACGCTATTTTAATCTATATAATTTACTGCACAATAACTTAAATTGATATTTAAAATCCATGGGAATAACTCTTGAGTACCTATTTTAATATAAGTGTCAATAATTGGTATTATACGAGAAAAATTGTCTTGTCATTGTACCTCTATTAGTTCTACGACTGATACCTTTAATGCAGATAACGATTTAAATAGATAACAAAGATACCACGAAAGACTTGCAAAAATCAAAAATCTATAATCAGCAAATTACCCAATTAACAATACAAAACAACGCTTCAAAAACAAATTAAAACCGTGCTATCTTTTATCAGAATAATAAAGCAGTATATTCGTCTAGTCTTTCAAAAC